CTCTGGTGCAAATTACTGACCTCTGTCATCATTTTAAGTGGGGGAACTTGCACAATCGGTGGCTGACTAAATACTTTTTTGCCCCACTGTATATCTTTATGTATAATTGTCTTGTCTCCCCATCTTTTCTTTTCTTAACCTTTATTTTTTCCTCCTTCCCTTGCCCATCTATTTTACCCATATTGCGGCTATTTTGCCCTCCCCCCTAATCTTCCTCCTTCCATTCAACTAAACTGTGACTGATCTTGACCAGTTTCAGTTTCTCTCTCAGTTGCATTTCTCCTAACCCAATTTCACCCATGTCCTCCATGCAATCTAAGCCTTTCTCCTCTCACTCTCTCCATTCCTCTTCTCTGCAGAACCACAGTGATCCCGAGGTTAATTAGCCCTCCAAGTGTCAGGCTGTTAGATCCCCTGCTTGGTGTCCTGTGATTGGCTCAGTAGGTGTACTAAGAAGCTTGGGCACCAGAGTTTGGTGCCGGTATAAAGACAGGAATAAAAAGAGAAGAGGATTGCCAGAATGTGGACAGACGAACTGAATTGAATTTAGGGAAAACTGATTAGAATAAACAAGACTACATGTAAAGCCACATTATTTAGAAATACAGAGGTATTTTTAAAGGCTGAGAATGCACTGAGGAGCGAGTGAGTAGTGAAAGATGGGGAATGAGTGAGCTGCTTTGGCTCAGGAGGTAGAGCAGCTCATCTACTAATCGGAAGGTTGGTCAATTCCTGCTTCAGGCTGCATGCCAAATATCTTCAGCAAGATACTAACTCCCAAGTTGTTTTCCAACTTCGGGGGTTATGTACGAATGTTAGATAGTAAACACTTAGGTAGGAAAGCATAGAAAAAAGCGTTTATGTCAATGTGTGTAAATGGGTGAATGAGGCGAGTTGTATGAAGCACGCTTAAGAGCAGAAAATGCTAATAATGGAGTATATAGGAGGAGAAGGGCTGCAACAATTCATGGCATAATTTGAATACTTCAATTGCAAAATAATTCTCAACACAAATTCTCTGCTTCGATGCTTCCTTTAACACATGGCTCCGTAGCGTCACCATGGAGACACGTTTGCAGCTAAAACACCCCTGCAATATAAACGCATTTAGGAGCAGCGTGACAATAAAACTTTGACATTAAGGGCAAACACACTGATAACACAACAGCAGAGATGATGATGGTGTCAAAGTTTAACGTGGAGCCAGAGTCTGTTTACACAGCGTGAAGAGCAAAGCGGCGGCGCCATCACCAAGACTGAGTGAAAGAAAACATGGTTCTAGCGTCCTAAACAGCAGCACTGTTCCTGTGATCACCACTGAAGGTCAATTGATCTGCCTTAGGTTAGATTCCATGTATATCTTATTTTATTTTGACTTTGGCTCTATTTGAGATTATTTATATATTTTTGCATTTAAGAAAATATTTTCTTTAAAAAATGTAATTTGATTGTATTTACGTGCCATTTTAAAGGGTTAAGTTGTTTTCTTTTTGTTTTTGATAGCTGTTTACTCTAAAAAACTGCAATTTCTAAAAATGGAAACCAATGAGTAGTTCATTTTGAAAAACCTGTGTGTTCATTAATAAGAGAACAGCATTTCTTATCAGATTACTCGATTAATCGATGGAATTATCGATACATTACTTAATTACTAAAATAATCAACAGCTGCGACCCTAGCAAGCAGCACAGTCTCGGTCGTTGTGTCCTTGGGCAAGACACTTCACCTACCGCCTACTGGTGATGGCGCCGTTGGTGCCTGTGTTTGGCAGCTTTACCTCTGTCTGTGTGATCCAGGGCAGCTGTGGCTACAACTGTAGCTGCCTCCAAGAGTGTGTGAATGTGAGAGTGAATGAATAATGGAATTGTAAAGCGCTTTGAGGGCCCCGAAAAGTGCTATATAAATGCAACCAATTATTATTATTATTATTATTATTATTATTATTATTATTATTTTAAAAAAGAGGTGATTGACATCTGAAAGGAAGGAAAGAAAAGCTGGTGATGGGAGACTGAAGCAGAGGAAATAAATGAGGGGAGCTGCTGAACTGATGGACAAGACATTTAACAGAAAAGGCTATGAGGACAGGAAGGGAGAAGAAAATGGATAGAGAGGACAAAGTCACGATTGTGACTGCAAAACACAGCCTGAATGAAGCAATGTTTGAAATCATTATTACTATAATGCTCGATATGAGGATAAATACTGAAAATATTCTCTAGTCTAATAGTTTCCAACAGCAACACTGGAGTGATACAATCTAGATGAATTAATTGGTGACAATTCAGTGCCAACATTCACAGGGATTTTGAGTAATGTTTGCATATTATTTATGGTCTAATAGTGCTGATGGGCTGATGAAAAATCATGTCAAGAAAGCATGCATCAGATCAATGAGCACTCCGGTGATATTTATTTAAGTGCAAGTCATCTCTTATGACAGCAGCACATTAAGAGCATTATGTGGACAAGCTGGAGACCATCATTAAGATATTAATGGAAGGCTTAATTATACCCAAGTGTTCTTGGGTATTTTATGTGTAGAGAGGGAAGGTGGGTACACACCACACTGAAGTCCAGATTCTGTTCAATCCACTCCTGGCCATCCTTGAACTCCTCGTGCAGACCCATGATGTACAGAGTATCTACTGCATCCACGATGGTTGCCCCCAGTTGAGAACTACCTGTACAACACACAAGATCAAACAATTGAAATTCTTCCATCAATTATTGCTCATATGAATATTTATTTATGCAATTAACAGTGGCATTGGTTTTACATACATCAGAGGCTCTCCTAAAGACGCATGCATGGAAAAAGCTGCAAACTGTACACAGTGCATTGCCTTTTTGAAGAGATGCACTGAACTTATTAAGAGAAAGTGAAAAGTCAGTGCAGATAACAGTTGGATCTATTTTCTACAAAGATTTAGTCTGTGCAGCGTTATCGCTCCAACAACGATGATTTACCCCTAACCTGAGGATAAGCACGTCACATATCGCACTACTCAGTCCAAGAGGCCTGCATGTGTGTTGCTGTTCTTTGCCTCTGTTGACAACAGTTCATCCAATCCACTTTAAACTTGCTTTACTGATTATTTTGTGTTTTTGGAGTGTAAGCCTGTGTACGTCTTTGACAGGACATTCACTGATCACATGGTCAAGATAATTTTCTCTCTGATTAGCCACCGTCTCATTTGGCATTAGCATTGTTCTTCAGGCTCGCTCAATGGGTTTGTCTTTATTAGAACCAAACCCTGTAGCTTTCCTTTTTCCAAAGTACTAACAATTTGTGTGTCTGGTGGCTTTTAGAAAAACTGTGTGTGTGTGGCGTTAACTGAAATTTGTCAAATATAGCTACAATTACACACTCTACTCTCGCTTACGTTACTTATACTGTAAATTAGTGTGTTTAACTTTAATATAATTAATTTACTACTTAAAGTACGCTTACATTTTTGCTCAATTTACTGTGAATACAGAACAGGCTTGCTGCTGCTGTAAATGTACAGCTTTAAATCAAATCATTGGACATAATTACATCAACCCAGACAGCAGTTACATTTAAAATGTTTATAATACTTCAAATAAATAGTTGGATGCGCATTCACAGCCACAAGCTAACATGACAATAGCTTGTGACACTGACACACCACCACATAAACATTCTGAACAACAAACCAATAAAAAAAAAAAATCCCTCTCACGCAGTTCAAGATGGATCTTTTAAAGCTAATCAGAACTCAGATCATTGAAATCAGCAAAAAGTAGGCACAGTTAAAAAAAAAAAAAGACCAAGAAGCCAAGGAAGCTGCAATCAGTGCATTTCTAATAAAAAAAAGAAAAGAAAGAAGGGAAGAAAAAAAAACAGAACTTAAAACTGTTGAATTAATATTTTCAGAAAGATATGGAGTGGCCAATCAATGGGCAAAAGCATTCAGCCAAGGCGAATGGTAGCAACCATAAAAAATGATCAGTTTGCAGCCACAGGAGCAGCTCTGTGTGTTTGTCTGTTATTCAGTGACATTTTAAAATGTTTTTCCTTTGCTAATGTGTGTTCATATAAAGCATGTCACAGTAGGACTAATTCAAACACATTGCCACATTTCATTGCCTTTTCCATTCTGAGGAGGAGACTAGTAATCATAAGACATTACAGGAACAGGGAACTGCTTATTATAAGTTATTAAAACTGACTTTGTGCCTATAAGGTTCAACTTTATGTAAATCAAAACCCTCCTTAGAAATTAAAGTGAAAAAAGGAGTTATAGGATATTATATAGGAAATATCATCAAAATGACTATTTCATCAGATCATCTACACCCTTTCTACTATTGCCTTCCAGTTTGCTTTAGTTCGGTTTGCATACATTACCACCATATTTCAGAGGTAAAAGTCAGTGGCACTGCCCTTTAAAGCCGTCCCCATTTCATATCAGAAGCTGCGTGAACAGCTAGAATTCCTGAGTCTGCTCGCCATCCCTTCTTATCTATGAATCCATTCAAAAGGAGAGTGTCTGGCTTCATGCAGGAGCTGCAGTGTTATTATCATCATAGACAGGAACCTCTAAATCACTCTAAAAATACACTGCAGTCAGGCGGGCGGAGCTGATAGCAAGATGCCCTGGCTGCCTGCCGGATCTTGACAGATTGGCGCGACCGTTGGTAGAGCAGAGCCCCTCTGCTGCACCACACAACCCCCATCTCCCTCCCTTCTGTCACTTCCATCACCTACAGGTACGCTTGAGGCTCCCATAGCAATGTGACACTGCTGACGCAAAGACAGAGGCCTGTCAAAGATACCGTCTCAGAATACTCCTCTAAAGGTTTTGTGCAATAGCTCCTAAATGCAGTGCTTCCTATGTGTTCACAACAATGACACCTCTGCTCTGTCAATCATTAACACTGTTGTGTTGTGAAGCAAATGAAATGTGACACTAACATTTTATATACGGACCTGTTTTCTTCTAAAACAACAAAAGGGTATCAAACCTGTTGTCTATGGTCCAGAAAAGAGGATTTTAATACCAAAAGGAGTTTTGGTGTTTATCAAACATCTTGAACAGAAGACATCCCAGACAACGCATGTTGTGTTAAAATGTCTTGGATTTGAAGATAACAATTTGGGTATTGATCCAAATAGAAATAAAATAGCCCTTAAAATCCTCTGTAAGTGATTATTCAATCCTTATGTTCATGACAAAACCTGCAAGTGATACTTCAAAGAACTGGAAATACTGTAGAGTCTTTACCTTACAAAATAAAGCACCTTGAGGTGACTGTTGCTGTGAATTGGTAACATATAAACAAAAAGGATTGGACTGGATTAACTGATTGGGGACAAATTGCCCTTCTGTATGTAGAGCAGAAGATCTTAGCGAAAGGCTTTTTTCTTTGTTCATTTTTAAAAACTCCAACTTCTCACGTAGTGAAGGTGTTCTCTGGGTTTTTCACCTCGTCCGCGTTTGCCAACATGAAAACCAATGACAGCGGAGCATTTCTTTGGCCAATCCAATCTAGCAACAAGCTCATCAAATGAATCACCCTCCATCTTCTAATCCCAACTCCAAATTCAAAGCAAAAGAAAATTTAAATGTGCAGATTACTTATGCGTATCCGCCGGACTCTTCTGGGTGCGTTTCTCTAACCTTGAGAAATTCTGCTCGCTCTCATCTTTGGAAATAACCTTGTTATCACACCTGGAAAGTTTCTCTCTCCAGCTCAGCCTCCATCTTTTCGTCTGCCCCTCCCTCGTATACCGAACCATCTGCTTGTGCTCATTCATCACTGTCTTGCTGCGTTCTCCCTAATCTTTCCTTGATCGCTCCATTCAGAACCCAGATTCGCAAACAATCCATTCACGCTTTTTTACATATACATCTCATTAAAAAATTTATTTTTTATTAATTTGACTCAACATCTTTCCCTACGAACGGTCACCATGCATCTTCCTGTATCATCTCTGTCATGTCCTGTTGCCATGGGTTTTCACGACCTGACTGCTCTGCAGCCTTGATATAAACAACACCAAAGGCATCACATGAAGTTGAATTGGTGCTTCCAGGAGTTGATTTTAGGGTTGCCAGGCGCTGCTTATCAGAGACAAATTGGCCGGGATGACGTTTATTTATTCAGGGAATTATTGCCACTGCCTCGTGCACACAGACCTCGCCAGCTGCAAACCAACACACACTCTCATCAGCTCTCCTGCTCTTTTAACATAGATTCATGTACTCTCCCTTCCCTTTGATACACCACACAGCTTCTCACTACTTCAACTGAACTCCACCCCCCACTCTTCAACATGCTCTCTCCATCTATCACAATTTCACACACCTCTCTCTCCCTCTCCCCCTCCATTATCTCTCTCTCCCTCTCTCGAACACTCACACTCTCCGTCCCAGGCTCCGTGCCGGTTTCATTAGACGACAGGTTTCAGAGGCATGAATTCACACGAGGCACGAAAACGTGATGCCATTATTCAGTCTCCATTCTCCCTGTCTTGTAAACTGTCGGCTCAGGGAGAGTGGGAGATGATTGAGAGCTCAGGTGTGTGTGTGTTTGTGCGTGTCATGCATAAATTCGCTTGGTTTGGCTCTGAATCGAATGAAAATGGAAGAAAGTGTAGAGGTGATGTGTGGAGATACATACAAAGCATTTGTGTTTCAAGCGTCCGTGTCGTGCCTTGTGTTTCTTATCATGACCTCTACACAACTCTGTGGACATGCAGGTCTAGTTGCAAGTCTACTCTTCTTACTCCTGTACAGACTATTTCTCCCTTGCATCCAGGGCTGCCCTCTGAAAGCTGAAGTCAGAGATCCCACATTTAAGTTGCAGTGTGTTTGAGGACGTGTGATGAAGCTGAAATCTGAGGTTTAAGTGTTACCAGAAGAGCCGTTCCCTTTAACAAATCTCTGTATGATGCTGCGTTTACTGACCTACAAGAAAGTAAATAAGGGTCTGGTTCTTGCCAAATTATGAGACCCTTCCTCCCTTCAGTAGAGAAGAGCTGATCCAAACAGAACAAGCTGACAACGTACCATGCTGCTCGAAGCCTGGTACATTTAAATGTCAGAAAAAGTTTTTAAAATTCTAAATGCAAACTCTGAGGAAGAGCTACTCCTACTACTACAACAAACAGGAAATGTGTCTAGTGTTCCACACTGCTGAATCTAAATAACACGTGTTATAGGTGCTTGTTATTCCAGGAACTCATTAGGATAGATGGACACATCAGCCATCTATTTTAATTAACATTGCAGCTAGAGAACTGCAGGTCATGAAATATTAAGCCGTGGAAGTGCCGAATGCAGCCACATGTAGAACGAGGCAGGCTGTGCAAACAGAGCACTGGGGGAACTAGACTCTCTATTCAGTTCACCTATAGAGTGTGGAGAACTAATCCGAGCAAATAAAGAGTAAAATTAAGAGCAGAGCAGCAGGATTATGCTGGTTTCAGGACTGAAGAGCAGAGCTGAAGATGTGAAGAGCTGCAGAATGAGGTGGATCGGTGTGAACAGTGAGAGGTTGCAGGCAGACGTAGACAAAATCAGAAACTTTAACTTTTCTAATTTGTAAAATTAATAAATCCTCTAAACTTAATCTTAAATACTAGTGTTTTAAATCTAACTTATAATTTGGAAATTATTGTAAAAAGTTATGTAAAATTAACAATTTTACATTT